TTGCCAACAAAGGTCCATTTAGTCAAGGCTATGGTTTTTCCAGTTGTCATGTATGGATGTGAGAGTTGGACTGTGAAGAAAGCTGAGTGCTGAAGAATTGCTGCTTTTGAACTGTGGTGTTGGAGAAGACTCTTGAGAGTCCCTTGGATTGCAAGGAGATCCAACCAGTCCATCCAAAGGAAATAAGTCCTGGTTGTTCATTGGAAGGACTGATGGTGAAGCTGAAACTCCAATACTTTGGCCACCTCATGTGAAGAGTTGACTCACTGGAAAAGACCCTGATGCTGGGAGGGATTGGGGACAGGAGGAGAAGGGGATGACAGAGGATGAAATGTTTGGATGGCCTCACCGACTCAATGGACATGAGTTTGAGTAAACTCTGGGAGTTGGTGATAGACAGGGGGGGCCTGGCGTGCTGTGATTCATGGGGTCACAAAGAGTCGGACACGACTGAGCGACTGAACTATCTGACCTAAAGATGCCTGGGCTTCCCAGGTGGTGCTAGTGGCAAAGAACCCATCTGCCAATGTAGGAGACACTAGATGTGGGTTCCATCCCTGGGTTGGGAAGGTTCCCTGGAGGAGGGCATGGCAACCCACTCCAGTATTCTTGTCTGGAGAATCACATGGACAGAGGAGCCTGGTGTGCTACAATCCATAGGGTCAAAAAACGTCAGACACGACTGAAGCAACTTAGCACAAAAATGTCCATATTTTAATCTCTGGACTTCGTGAATAAGTTATACTACATGGTAACAAGAACTTTGAGGATGTGGTTAAATTCAGAATTTTGAGATGAGGGAAATTCGGCTGAATTACACACGTGAAACCAACGTAAATCACAAGCGTTCTTATAAGTGAAAGAGGGAGACAGAAACATGTCACTGTGAAGCACCTTGAGAAAGACCCAGCTGCTTCCAGCTCCAAAGTTGGAGGAAGAGAACAGCCTTTAGCAGCTAGAAAGGGCAAGGAAATGGATTCTCCCCTAGAGTTTCCATAAAGAAATACATCTTTGTCCAAACCTTGATTTTAGCCCAATAAAAGCCATATTGGACTTCTGACCTGCTGAACTATAGGATGACAAATTTGCATAGCTTTAAGCCACTAAGTTTGTGATACTCTACTACAGGAGCAATAGGAAACAAATAACATCCTCGTAGTTATCCTACGAGGCAATTGCTGCAATTACCTCTGGTTCACAGATGAGGAAACCAAAGCAGAGTTTCTCAAAGATACACAGCTATTGAGCAGTGAAGCTGGGATTTGAATCCAGGCAGCCTGGTTTCAGAGCCTATGAGCTGGAAGCCTCCCTGCTTTCAGTCTTGGGGTTTCAATAAGTTGCAACTCTAGAGTCATCTTGCCAGAACCTCCACCTGTAAGACTCTGGTGCAAGGCCTTACATGGACAGGCCTACTGCACAGTCCTGGAGGCAAGGCACAGCCTTCTAGTCGCTCCAGCACTGGTACCGCAAATAGCAACAACAAAGTCTGTTTCCACCCCCGTGGTGAAAAAGACATCCCTGGAAGTGTGTCCATCCAAATTCCTCGAATAACTGGAAGCAGTACTTCCTGCCAGTGCTATATGTTATTAGGAAAGAGAATTATTAACAGATCACATTGTGTTCATTGTAGCACTATTTATAGTAGCCAAGAAATGGAAGCAACCTAAATGTCCATCAACATAGGAATGGATAAAGAAGATATAGTGTATAATGGAATACTACTCAGCTATAAAAATGAATTAAATAATGCCATTTGCAGCAACATAGATGGATTTAGAGTTTGTCATACTAAGTGAAGTAAGTCATAAAGAGAAAGACAAATACCACATGATATCATTTTTAGGTGGAATCTAAATTATGATGCAAATGAACCTATCTACAAAGCAGAAAGAGACTCACAGATATAGAAAACAAACATACCAAAGGGGAAGCAGGGAAGGAATAAAAGAGGAGCTTGGGATTAACAAGTATACAGCACCACATATAAAAAAGATGGACAAGACCCTTCTGTACAGCACATGGACTGTACTCAATATCCTGGGAGAAACCATAATGCAAAAGAATATAACAAAGAATATACACATGTATATGTATGTATGTATGTATATATATATATATATATGTGTGTGTGTGTGTGTATATATATATAAAACTGGATCACTTTGCTGTACAGTAGAAATTAATATAACCTTATAAATTGATTACACTTCAATAAAATAGAACAAACAAACAAAAAATAGATCACAGTGCAAGTTTCATTAAACATTCCATTTGAGAAATACCTTAAAAAGTGGGGATATTTTAAAAAGGAAAAAAGATTAAGTTGGCTATTGTAAAGATAGACATTCATAAAATTTGAGAATAGCAAATACAAAAAAGTTTAAAGGGAGTCTTTCATCAGAATTTGTAAGCTATTCCAAGAATGCTCCACATAGGTAGACATGTATTTTAGCTCTGTGTATAGTACTTAGAAAACAATTAAAAGCATCCACTGAATTAAATGAATGCTAAAGAAATAAATATTAAAAAATATTTAATTAGCTTATGGATATGCATACTTTTCAAGATCCAACTGTGAGCAAGCATGTCCTCAAATGTTCTGGAATCTGTTTGGCCATTCTGACCACTTGACTTTACAAGGTGCTTCTTTGCCAGGTTAGGCAGTGCTGTCTGCCCTGTTCTCTGACTTCTGCTCATGATTTTAGTTTCCCAAAACAAAAGCAGCCTACTATTAGTGGTTAAAAGCCCTGGCTTTGAAAACTGTGAGATCTGGGTTTAATTCCAGTTCACTTGCTTATTACGCATATGACTTCAGGCAAGTCATTCAGCCTCAGTGTCTTCATTTAAAAATGGGCCTAGTAACATTTGTTTTTTATTTTGCAGTGACTGGCCCACAAAAGCACTCAACAATGGTAGGTATATAAAATTCACATTATTACCATCACTGATTGACCCTTGTCTCTGATGTTGCCCAGAAAGCACAGTGTCCAAGTTAGACGTACATCTTTTTATATCATCCTCAAAAACAGAAAAAAAAATCATTATAAACCATCTGAATCTTACAAGTGTTTTACTATAGTGAATCAGTTGAGAAGGCTTAAATTCATCCTCACCTTTGTAGTAATTTTGATTTTTTGAGAACTTAGGGAAAGAAGGAAAGATCTGTAAACCCTAAGTGAAAAGATGGAGAGGAGGGATCAGTGGTTGCCACTGTAGTCAGTCTCATCAGAAACATAGAAGGTAACTAACTCTTATTACACATCTGCTGTGAGCCAAGTATGGCCTTCCCAGGTGGCCCAGTGCTAAAGAATCTGCTGGACAAGAAGGAGATATAAGCTCAGTCCCTGGGTTGGGAAGATTCTTTGGAGAAGGAGATGGCAACCCACCCCATTATCTTTGCCTGGGAAATCCCATGGACAGAGGAGTTTGGTGGACTACAGTCCATGGGGTTGCAAAGAGTCGGACATGACTTAGTGACTAAACAATGTGAGTCAAGTGCTTTGCACACATTATCTCATTTATTTCTCTTAGTGACCCTTTGGAAGAGGTATGAAGACACATCATTTAATAGATGAGGGAAATGAATCACCAGAAGGACAAGGTAACCTGTTCAAGGTCACAAGGGGCCAGCTGGGATTCAAACTCGGTATACCATATTGCCTCTCATTGAAGACTGGTTTTCAGTAAATATAGTCCTGACTGATTGCACATGATTTAGGCAGAAAATTCATGTTATTTACTGAGAATGAGTAACGATTTATACCAAAAGAGGTTATAGAGTGGCAAGCGGTACATGGACATAATTTCTGCAATTATTTTGTCTTACTGCAAAATGATTGTTCTTGACCACATAATCAGTACATCCCTGGCTGAGTAAAGAAAGTGCCTTATGTTAACTAGTTGCTGCCCCGTATTCTACTTTGAAGACGCAGTGCATGCACAGAGGCGCAGCATAAATAGGCATATTTTTAAATGAAGGTTTTCCTGTGCGCCAGTCATTCACCCCACCCAGGAATACTACACTTCTAAGATCAAGGAGAGGCAATAGCACCCCACTCCAGTACTCTTGCCTGGAGGATCCCATGGACGGATGAGCCTGGTGGGCTGTGGTCCATGGGGTTGCTAAGAGTCGGACACGACTGAGCGACTTCACTTTCACGCATTGGAAAAGGAAATGGCAACCCACTCCAGTGTCCTTGCTTGGAGAATCCCAGGGACTGGAGAGCCTGGTGGGCTGCCGTCTATGGGGTCGCACAGAGTCGGACACGACTGAAGCGACTTAGCAGCAGCAAGATCAAGGAGTCACTAAGATTCAGTACTGGGGCTAAAATGCCTAACAACATCTAATGATTGATTTTTAGATTAATTTACTTTCATTTTTTCTTTTCTTTTATTTAGTGTATAGTTGCTTTACAATATTGTGTTAGTTTGTGCAGTACAGCAAAGTGAATCAGCTGCACATATACATATTTCCACTCCCTCTTGAACCTCCTTCTCACCCCCACCCCCATCCCACCCATCTGGGTCATCACAGAACATGTAGCTGAGCTCGCCGTGCTATACAGAAGCTGCCTACCAGCTATCTATTTTACACATGGTCATGTATATATGTCAATGCTAGTATTCAATTCATCCCATCCTCCCCTTCTGTAGATTTGTTTTCGTTTTAGAGTAAGACTGCATTCTTACTGCAGTAACACTACCAGCTGCATTCTCAGATCCTCTTGAAGAGAAAATTTACTTGCCTATAGGATGTCCCGCATCACCTTGGTCAGGTAAAATACTTCATATTGATTACTGAAATTTTTCATTGCTTTGCACTAAAAAGTGATTTGTCAAGGATGCTTTGGCAGAAGACTACAAATAAAACCAAAAGAATTCGTTTGATGATATTATGGCATTACTGATTGTGATTACTATGTACATGATTTAATTCTTTTCCATCTCATATTGACTTTAGTTAACCAAGACTGCTGGGTATGGTCTCAATACTGACTTACCATTGTCTTCAGCAGAGAAGTAGAAGATGTCTTTAGTTGCCTTGCTGCCTTCATTCAAGATGTAGTAGATCCTCATCTCATCAATGTCAGCTAGTAAAGGAGTAAGCATCATACATATACCATGTCGGCACACAGAAAATGAATATGATAAGAACAACATTGTTTTTTATAGGGCTTGAAAATACTACAATTAGTAAATTTAAAAATGATTAAATGAACACCAATCTAACTTTAAAAAAATAACGAGGTTAATAAGAATTTGACTTTTTCTTAAAGTTGCAATAGCAAAAAATGGAACCTTATAATTTTAAATTTTAACTGCGCTTCTCTGTGTATGCTCTCTGGGATGACAAGATGGGCATCCAAGAAGGATGCCCAGGTTCTACCTATGCACGCTTCACAATACCCTGGTCCTCTACAGACAGATTAATCCAGCGGGTGTTAGGTCTTCTATCCAAGGTTGAAATACGCGGATACTCACAAACTAACTGTTGAAATGAATTTAAACAAGAATAACTATTGCATCCTCAGTAAAAAGGAAATAAGAATAAAATCATGATGTGTTTCCATTCCCCATTCTCTTGGATATTTGAGAATGTGCCAGTTGGGTCTATAATTGTGTTTTTGTACTGTTAAAACTAGTATTTTCAAGACAATTTGCATTTTGGAATATTCATTTGCAAGAACAGTTTTTATAGAACCTCATATGATTTCACTTGGTTTAGAAACAATTCTGAAAATGTAAAGAAATTGTTTTTTAAACAACCTTCTTTAGTTTTACTCTAAAATTGCATCCAGCTTTATGTGTATTGTATGTGTAAAATTCCATGTATCTCTTCACATCTCATGCACAGAGCTACATGAAAAAGTTTTATGACTATGTGAAGAGCAGCCCAAGGTACTAGTGTCTTATCACCTGGGAAGCCAGAGGGACCTGCCTTTAGTTCACCATTAGTGGTAACAACAAATATAAAGAAAAACGATCATGAAAACATATACTCCCATAGTTAGGCCAACTTTTGTGCATGCGTGTGTCTTAAGTCGCTCAGTCCTGTCAGACTCTTTGCTATGGACTATAGTCTGCCAAGCCTCTCTGCCCATGGGATTTCCCAGGCAAGAATACTGGGTTGCCACTTCCTTCTCCAGGGGATTTTCATTATCCAGGGATCAAACCTGTGTCTCCTGTGTCTCCTGCATTGCAAGTGGCCCTTGGCAAACTTAGTTCTATGCATTTTCTAGATACAGAAATTGAATTTGAATAGTACAATAAAATATGCAGTATAATTTTTATATCTGAAATCAAGACACCAAACCACTATCTTCAGAAATCCAGACTTACTGGTAAACTATGCAAGTGATTCCTAGGTATGTCATTCTTTACTAAAAATTCAAACTTAAACTGATCTTTTCAAAATCATTGTAATCTTATAATATTTCAGAAGCAGAAGCTGTCCACCTATATTTGGCAGTTTTAATGTGTAACTACAAAACTGATTGAATGCCTGAGAGTTCCAGTGTAAACAGCATGCTGATGAAAGAGCTGATAATGGGTTTGTTGCCTTTCATTGTTTGTTAATTTCTCATTCCATTGTATTTCATTAGAATTAGAATCTTTCTGCTAAAGCTGAGGTCAGGACAATTTCATGCAGAGCTGGGAGATCTGATCTACTTAAGGAGCAGGACAAAGGCATCAGGGGACACTGTGTACTAATCTTGTGTAAAAACTCGCGTGCTCTCATTTCCAAGGCCAGTGTTGATAATGAAGCCATGCACCGGTCCTCTGGTCACTTTATACTTCTGGAGCCTGTGGGAACTGTCCCAATCTTCTGTCTTCAGAGACCTGCTGGTAATCAAGAAGGCTACATGCCCAGGGTGAAGGTATTTCAAGGCCAGGGCATCTCTGTTGAAGGCAGCCTGGGAAAACCTGTTGTCGAGGGAGTTTCTTACGTGAATCCACATTACCTGAGGTCTGTGTGTCTCCACAGCAGTGTTTGGGAAGACATAGAAATCAGCATGAGTGCCATCTGTCACAGTCAAGAAGAATCTGTCTTCAGGTGTCTCACTGCCATCATGCCAGTAGCAAACCAAGTTCTCGTTCAGGTCCCGTTGGGTGAAGGTGGTCACAGGATGACTGCCATTATACAAAATCCTGCCATGGATGGGCACCTCGGTGATGGTAAAGAGGAGGAGGTCATCTGGGCTGTCCTTGTCTTCCGCTGTCAACTCGAAGGGAGTAATGCATTTTCTTTCCCCTTCTTGCAATATCAGTTTGTGGATGGTCATGACAAGTTTCTTATTATTCACATCCGTGATGAAGATCTTAAAGGTTTGAAACATGGGATTATGTTCATCAGCCTCTTGAAACTCAAAGCTGTCCATCTTTATCTCATCGTTTGAAGTGTGAACATAGGCTATCTTGTTGCCAGCCAACTGCCGCTGAGTGAAAGAGGTAATGGGCTCCCCAGGGTGGTCAGAGACTTCCAAGTGCCCCAGGCTAGGAGCCCGTGTGATGCTAAACTGCAGCTGTTCATCAAAGCTGTTGATGTCATTGGTGCTAAGCAGATCCGTGGTGAGGGTCACTCTGCCACCTTCTGTCAAGGTGACCCCTTTGCTAACCACCTCAGGGAAGAAGACCCTGTCTAAGCTGCCAATGGTGATGTTGAAAGAGCGGTCTAGCAAAGGGTTAATCCCATCAGTCACATCAAACTTGATAAGGTCACGAAGACCTTGGCCTGTGTGGGTGTAACAGATGAGGTCTCGGTCATTCTCACCCTGGGTGAAGTTCATTCCCAGGGTGAGGTTGTTCCTCACTTCCCCTCTGGGTTTTCTCAGTCGCTGTAGAAGCCCTTGTTGAGGCCCAGAGCGGAGGATAAAACTGAGGCTCTTATCATCTGAGTCGAGATCTGTGGCTTTGAGGACCCGACTGGTGATGACCCCAGTGTGGCCAGTCTCGACTTCCAGCCCATTGTTGATGGTCAGCCGAGGGGTTTCATCGTCCACCAGGACCACCACAACGGGCACCGTCCTGTGAGTGGTGTGCTTGCCGTCACTCAGCCAGACCTCAAAACTGTCCTCTGCGCTCTCAGAGTCATCGTGCACATACACAATGGTGGAGGCCTCCTGAATCTCCTGTAAGGTGAAGCTACGGACGGGCTGGCTCTCTGTGGCCAGCTGCTGTATAATTCGCCCATGCCGAGGGAGGGCTGTGAGCTGAAAGTGAAGCTCGTTTGGTGGCAGGTCAGCATCAGCTCCATTGAGAAGTGGGGTGTCTATGACAATGCTCATTTCCTCTAATACCACCAACTCACGGGCAAAAAGCTCAGGCTGCTCATCATTGGTGGGTAAGATCATTATAGGAAAGAGGACCTTTGGGGAGAAGTTGATGCCATCAGAGCAATAAAAGGTGAATTGATCTTTTTGTGGTTCTACCCCCTTGTGGATACTCTGTACATAGTGATATGGCTTAGCTGGACATCTTTGATGGAGAAAGCACTGATGGGATAACCAGCTCGGGTCTCTTCTGATCCAGGAGCTGGTGTCATATTTTCCAGGTAGCCAGAGACTGGCTGACCAGTTACTGTGCAGAGAATTTCATCTTGGGGAGTGTCTGCATCTTCGATGCTGAGATGTTGTAAGGTCAAGGCACTCTTCCCACCTTCATGGACAATGTAAGGCTCCCTGATCAAGACCTTGGGGGCCACATTGTTGACGGGCAGCACAACCACTTGAACCTGTACTTCTTCCACTGTGCTGTCTCCCATCATCTGCTGATCAGAATCCTTGGAGAGGGCAAGCCTGAAGGCATCATGCTGCTTCTGGAATCCAACTTCCCCTCCTGTGTGGACATAGACTACTGTCCCACTGATGAGGTCCTCTTGGGTGAACCGTTCTGTGGGTAAACCATTCACCAGAATAGTGCCCAATTTGGGGCTGTCTTCCACAGTGAAAGAGAGCATCAAGTCGCCTGTGTCCTTTTGACCATGGATGATGTCCATGGCGATCTCAGAGGGTGTATTTTCTAGTACATCTATGGACACATCTAATAATGAGCTACCTATAATAGAGATCCTGGGACTTCTGTCAGCTGCTGTGGGATGCACAGAAATCTGGACAGTGATAGGTATGTGATGTACCTTGTCACTTACCTCCAGATGGAAGGTATCACCGGTGGCCTGGTTTCTGTGGTTCTGATAAGAGATACTCCCATTAACAATATCAGCTTGCGTGAAATATTTCCCTGGGACCATACCTTTTTTTAAGTACTGCAAATGTCCATGTTGGGGACCCCAAACTAATATGAAGACAATCTGGTCGATGTCTGTGTCAGGGTCTGAAACATCCAGCTCATTACTGCTGAGGATGAAACTCTCTCCTTCTAAGACAGTAAAGCCTCTGTTGGTGACTTGGGGAGGCTGGTTGTCCACAGGCTTCAGGAATAATGTGAATGTGCCAGGTATACTATTCCCTGCAGTATCCTCCACCTGGTAGGTGAACTGCACAATCCGTGGTACAATACCCAGCTTCTTCCGGGGGGGCTGGTAGGCAACTTCATGGTGATTTACCTGGGCCTGGGTGAAGTGCACAATGGGTGTGTCTGGTGAAGCAGTGAGCACAATTTCTCCAGCCTGGACTTGGTGGTTGCCATCTGTGTCAGTAGGGGGCACCAGTAGGGAGTACCACAGGTGCTGGTCATCTGAGTCCTGGTCAATATATTGGAGGAACTTCTGGAAGTGTGAGTGAGTTGGTATTGCTGCACGGTCATTTCTAAGGTAGTTCCTGGAAACAGCTCTGGACTCTGCAGATCCACTGGTTGGACTCTGATGGTGAAGAAATGTTGCTTGGATAGATTGGGTGGGTCATGGTCATCCTGCACGTGGAAAGTTATCTGGGCCATTATGGATTGAGGACCAAGGAAGATGGCGGTAGAAGAGTCTCCCTTCCACTATGTCTTGTTGAAGCCACTCAGTCACCACCTTCTCATAAAGTCCTTCCTTTCCCACGTAATACCAGCCTTCATCTTCAGGAGCCCGAGGTGGTTCTGACTGCCGCAGCAGCATCTCCCCCAGGTGCTGACTT